GGCTCCACAGGCCAAGGGTTTGGACAAGGTCACTCCTCTGGTTCTGGACACTATGGTGCTTCATCAGGACAGTCATCAGGCTTGAGCTCAGGTCAGTCCACTTCTCAGGGCACACAAGGATCAGGATCAAGCCAAGCATCTAAGCATAGGAGAAGCAGTTCTAGCTCAAGTGAGACTTTTGGCACCCAGCAACATGGGTCTGGCACAGGAGGGTCTTCTGGATGTAGTCATCATGGATCTGGGCAAGGTCAGTCTTCCGGTAGTAGGGAACATGGTTCTTTCTCTGGACAGTCATCAGGCAGAGGCCAGCAGGTCTCTGGTTATGGTCAGTCTTCCAGCTCTGGCACTCACTACTCAGGCTCAAGCAATACTTCTACCCAGAGGAGACACGGCTCTGGGTCAGGACAGTCTTGTGGTTCAGGTCAATATGGTTTTGCATCAGGACAGTCTTCTGGCTCCACAGGCCAAGGTTTTGGACAAGGTCACTCCTCTGGTTCTGGACACTATGGTGCTTCAACAGGACAATCATCAGGCTTGAGCTCAGGTCACTCCACTTCTCAGGGCACACAAGGATCAGGATCAAGCCAGGCATCTATGCAGAGGAGAAGCAGGGGTAACTCACGGGAGTTTTCTGGCTCCCAGCAATATGGGTCTGGCACAGCAGAGTCTTCTGGATGTTGTGTACATGGTACTGGGCATTTTCCATCTTCTAGTATTGGGGAACATGGTTCTTTCTCTGGACAGTCATCAGGCAGTGGCCAGCAGACCTCTGGTTATGGTCAGTCTTCCAGCTCTGGCACACACTACTCAGGCTCAAGCAATACTTCTACCCAGAGGAGACATGTCTCTGGGTCAGGACAGTCTTGTGGTTCAGGTCAATATGGTTCTGCATCAGCACAGTCTTCTGGCTCCACAGGCCAAGGTTATGGGCAAGGTCACACCTCTGGGTCTGGACACTATGGTGCTTCATCAGGACAGTCATCAGGCTGGGGCTCAGGTCTCTCCACTTCTCAGGGCACACAAGGATCAGGATCAAGCCAGACATCTAAGCCTAGGAGAAGCAGTTGTAGCTCAAGTGAGTCTTTTGGCTCCCAACAACATGGTTCTGGCTCAAGAAAGTCTTCTCAATGTTGTCAACATGGATCTGGGCAAGTTCAATCTTCTGGTAGTAGAGAACATGGTTCTTTCTCTAGACAGTCACCAGTCTGTAGTCAGCATGGATCTGACACTGGTCACTTATCTAGCAGAGGCCAACATTGTTCATCATCTAGACATTTACCATTTTCTGGGCCTTCTCAATATAGCTCAGGTCAGACCTCTAACTGTGGTCAGCATGGTTCTACTTCTTGGCAGTCTTCCTCCTATGACCAGCAACAGCCTGGATCTTATCAGCCATCCTCCTGTAGTCATCATGGTTCTAACTCTGGAGGGTCTTCCAACTTTGGCCAATGTGGTTCTAGCTCAGTAGAGTGTTCTGGATTTGGTAACCAGGTATCTAGTTCAGGTCATTCTACTTACAGCCAACAGGGATCCAATATCAACCAATCTTCAGGCTATGGACAATATAGTCCAACATCAGAACAATCATACTGTGGTAGTCAGTGTGGATCTAATTCAAACCAGTCTTCCTATTGTGGTCAACAAGGGTCTGGTTCAAGTCAGTCTTCTTACTATGGCCAACATGAATGTCCCTCAAATCAGCATTCTAGCCACAGTCAACATAGGGCTGGGTGTAGTCAGAGTTTTAGCTCTGAACAATATGGGTCTGGTTCGTATCCCTCTTCTATCTCTAGACAAAATTGTCCCAGATCTGGTCAATGTCCTAGTTCACCACAATATGGGTCTGATTCATGTCATTCATTTAGTTCTGGATCATGTGGTTCTGGATATGGTCAATATTCTAGTTATGATCAGCCTCAATCAAATGGGAGATGTGGCAACAATTGGCAATCTGGCTGCAGCCCCTCAATTTATAATGAAAATCAATCAATAAGTGTGTATAGGCAAGTAGAAACCTCCTCAGGTTGTGAATTTGGACAATTTACACCTTCACATGCACATAGTAGATCTAATACTCCTGGTCAATTTTCACTTTGCAATGTGGATAATAGACAAGGTGACTCTGACTATCGGAGAATCAGGGAAGGTAACTCTGGAATGAGAAATAGAGGCTTGGATTCTCACAGTTTCAGTAGTAGCACTCCACTCTATGAGTATGTACAAGAGCAGAGACGCTAATTCTCAGAGTGAGTAAGGAACTGAGGTAAAATTAACTTAAATGTTAATTTAAGAAGTAAAAAATTGTTGTAGAACTCATCATGCAATTTCTTTCTCAATATGGACATGTCTGCTCTCATTCTTTTCTTTTAAAATGAAAATTAGCCTATATTCCTTGTTACTGAGTTCCTCTCAAATAATGTATGGTATTTGGCATACTTGTGATCTATCAAAATAGAAAAAATGCTTGGTTTTAGGGAAATTAAGTGTTGAAGATTAACTTCTAGAGTTTGGGTTTATTTGGATTAAGTTTAGAAGAATAATTTAAAGAGTTTGGGGTTTTATTAAGGTGTCTATCTAAAAGATTATTATTTAGCTTGGGATGATGCTAAAGCTAAGCTAGTAGTTTTAAAGGGCAATATATTATTAATCTATTATCATTCCAGTTGTCAAAGCTTCATCTTATGTCAATATACAGTCAGAATTTTAATGTATATTATGTTAGATGGCAAGACATTGTGGGAAAAAGTTATAAAGTATTGGTGGTTTCTATTTTTACCAAAATCACCAAGATACTTCTTTGGTACATTTTAAATCAGTAAGTAAACAAGTGGCATTAAAATTTCCTTTAGATGCTTCTCCCTAGCCACTGGAAAAGGGGTACATGACCAAAGGATCCATATATGGGCCTTAACTTTATTTCATCAAGAAAGATCTTTGTTTTCATTTCTAAGAAACTGTTTCAGATTAGAAAACGTTAGGCACATTATACATGGAAATATAAGTGGCTTACTGGTCCTCCTATGCAGAGATATCATCAATAACCCAATGGAAAGGAAGCTTGCCATTGTTACATAGTTCTTCTTTTGACTGTAATGGATTTGTTTCTAATCTTTCAATTCAAATAACTGGATTGCATTAATATTGACAATAAATTAGTGGTGATTAAATACTAAGATTTGTCTTTCCTCTGCTTCACATCACTTCTTTCACACAAGTGGTCAAAGAAATCAATGCAAGTAGCTATTTCCCAAAGTCCCATAATCTACAGTCAATCCAGATAGAAAGTTTTAAAGTCTCCCAGCACTCTTTACCTTCATCCTCTCCCCACCTGATCCCTACTGTTCCCATGCCCACCCTCATCCAGACCCCTCCCCCAATTCACCTGTGATATCTATTCTATTTCCCCTTCACAGTGAGAATCATGTGCCCCCTCTCACCTTTGCCCTCCTTTTAACTTAGCTTCTCTTGGGCTATGAATTGCAGCATGGTTATCCTTTACTTTACAGCTAATATCCACTTATAAGTCAGTATATACAATACTTGTCTTTCTATATTTGGGTTACCTCACACAGGATGATCTTTGCTAGTTCCATCCATTTGCCTGAAAATCTCATGATGCCATTGTTTTTAACAGCTGAGTAACACTCCATTGTGTAAATGTACCGCATTTTCTTTATCCATTCTTTGGTTGATGGACATATAGGTTGTTTCCAATCTCTAGCTATTATGAATAATGCTGCTATGAACATCGTCAGGGGGTATCTCTGAGATGAGCTAGAAACCTGGTACAATGGAAACTCCTAGAAATCTATAGCTAAGACTCCTAGCAATGGTGGATATGGAGCCTGAACCAGTCATCTCCTGTAACCAGGCAAGACTTCCCCTGGAGGGACTGGAACCCTAACCCAGTCACATACATAACCTTTGACCTACAATTTGCCCTTCCTACAAGATATGCTGGGGTAAAAGTGGTGCAGAAATTATGGGAGCAGCCAACCAATGACTGGCCCAGCTTGAGACCCATATCATGAGAGGGAGCCCACTCCTGACACTGCCTGGAGGGCCAGGACCCAGAGGCTGAACAGCCCAGAGACCTAGGATAGAGCCAAACATGACTGGCAAAAAATAAAAAGTCAACAAAATGATTCCTGATGACATTTTGCTATACATTACATTCACAGATTGTTGTCTAGCATAATCGTTATCAAAGAGGCTTCACCCAGTTTCTGACGGAAACAGATGCAGAAACCCACAGACAAACATTAGATGTAGCTCAGGGAATTCTGTGGAAGAGGGGGAGGAAGAATTAGGGGAGTCAGGGGGGTCAAGGACATCACAAGAAAACTGACAGAATCAACTCACCTGGGTGCACAGGGGCTCACAGAGACTGAACCGCCAACCAGAGAGTCTGCATGGACCTGACTTGGGCCCTCTGCACATATTTTACAGTTATGTAACTGGATCTTGTGGGACTCCTAACAGTGGGAGCAGGGACTATCTCAGACTCTGTTACCTGCTTTTGGGACCCTTCCTTCCTACTGGGTTGCCTTATCCAGCCTTAATAGGAAGGGAAAGGAAAGGAGAGGAGAGGAGAAGAAAGGAGAGGAGAGGAGAGGAGAGGGGAGGGGAGGGAAGGGCAGGGGAGGGGAGAAGAAGATAGGAGAAATATTAAAGAAAGAAATGTTAATGGGGCCCTCCAGGACCAGCCCATGCTCCACATCCTGTGCCCTGGCCTAGTGATGACGACTCCGCCTGCTCCTATTCTGCCTACACCCTCCCCAGTTCCCACACCCAAGCCAACTTTTAGGCTGAGAGTCCCAGCCTAGTCTGAAGAGCTTTATACCATTCCCTATCTGCAGGCGTGGACCCAGTGGCAAAACTTCTGTGCCAGGCGTGGGTGTTGGGTTCACCAGATTCTATCCTATTCATGCTATATCAAACCTCCAGACTTAGCCTAGGTCACACATCCTATATGCTAATCCAGTCTAGTGAGTCTCCTGGACTCTACCCAGCCTGTATCATATCTAACCTCCATGCCTATCCTGGGATATATACTTGTGTGCTGGCAAAGCCTGATGAGTTCCTAGAATCTCAGTTGTTCATCCTATCCCCAATCCTCAGGTCGAGCCTCAGTCACACAGTTAAGTCCCTAGAACATCCATGCCATACCAAATCTTCATCTCTGTTCCACAGCCTGTATACCAGCCTAAGGGGGTGAGTGAATTATCCAGCCTACCAATGGAATCCTCATATTCCCAGCTAAATCTTGAGTAGTATGGATTGCACATCAGACAAATGAGATCCATCCAGTTGTCCTACTCACACATTTTCTTGTTTAATACAGAACTGGACTCAGTCTAGTAAAACATCAACTCTGAGTGTCTGAAGGATCAACCTACCAGTTCCTCATAGTTCCTCATACCTGCTCTGAAATCAACCAATCCGGGACAGAAACAAAATAAGCCAAAGCTCACATCAAACACACCACCAACAGCATGCCAAGTCTCATCCCAAAAACACTAATATGAAAGGCCAAGACAGTCTGTCAACAAATGGCAGGGCTGTTTCCTTGAGAAGATAAACAAGATCATCAGATCACTGGCCTAACTAACCAAAGGAAAGAAAGAGCACAAGTGAACACAATCAGAAATGATGAGGCAAACATGACAACAGACACCAGTTCAGAACATTATAAAGGAAAATGCTTTTTAAAAGTACTTATTTTAGTTTTTGAGATTATAATATAATTATATCATTCCCCCCTTCCGTTTCCTTCCCCCTCCAACCCTCCTATATATCCCTCCTTGCACTCTTTCAAATCCACGGCCTTTTTTTTATTAATTGTTGTTACATGCATGTATATTCCTAAATACATAAATAAAACTTGCTTAGTCTGTACAATGTTGCTTGTATGTTTTCAGGGCTGACCGTTTGGTAGTGCTAAACCAGTTGGTGTGATCTTCCCTGGGGAACACTATCTCTCCCACTCTCAGCATTCCTTAATTTCCTGCAGCTCTTTGTGTAGGATTGAGGCCTTGTGGTCTCTACCCCATCCATATTTGCATGTCTATCATTGCCCCTTTCAGGTCAGGTTTGGGCAGTCCTGCTGGTGAGACTTTCTGAGTGTAACTTCTACATTCCTAGGAGACACACTCTCACATCAAATTCCCTGATCCCCTGGCTCTTACAATCTTTCTGTCCACTCTTCAGTGATCTTTCCCAAGCCTTGGGTCCAGGAGTTGCTTTGTAGATGGATTAATTGGGACTTGATTGGTTATGGTTTCCATAATGGTTTCCATCTGTGGCACAGAAAGCTTCTTTGATGAGGGGTAAGGATCACACTTACATGTGAGTATGAGGATAAATATAGTGTGGTTAGAAATGTTTTAGGAAAGTTGTAGCTATAGGTTCTCTTCCAAATTCTCTACTATGGGCTTCCTTTTCACTTAATTGTTTAATTAGATGTGC